ATTCTAGTTTTATTTAATTCTTTGGTTCCTCTTCTATTGAGCTTACGATCTCGTCACTTGGGTAAAAAATGTTTTTTGTCATAGAAGTTATTTTTAAAATAACTTCTGGGGAGAATATCCCAGACAAAAACCAAGGGAACTGATGAGGATTGGTGGCTCTTTCCGAAACCTAGGTGTTCCCTGCCTTACCCCCTGGTAAACATTACCATCGTTCTCCACTAATAAACAAACGTTGTTTTTATAAAAACAGAAAAATAAATTTTCTAAAAATTGTGCTCGCCTATGCTCATTAGAAAATTCTAAGAGATATCGAAAAGAATGAACACAAACCAGAAACGATTCAGTCCAAAGTTCATTTTTTCGAATTTCTAAAATTGAAATCTTCTCAGATTAAAAAAAAAACAGTAAGGAAAGGTTAAAAATCGGGCGGGGCCGACTAAAATTCGTTTGAATATGAAACATTTTTTCAATTTAGGCTAATACTACATATGTGGTGAGTAATAACCGTACTATAGGATGAAGATGTATATTAAAGGCAGAGGTATGGCAGAGGTATTTTCGAGCAGTATCTGATGCTCTGTATCAAATTTCATTGTTCCGCATCTGAGTGACTGTGACACTAAATAGGATGAAACCGATTTGGAACAAAATTTTGAACACATGCTTTTGGGTTGAATTCCTTCGGAATTGCCAAAATTGTTGATATTGTCCATTTGGTGCACAATAAACTTGATATAGGATAAAGATATATATGGGAGCCATATCCAAATCTGAATTGATCTTGAAAAAAAAAATTGGGCACATATTTCTGAGCTGTATCTGATGTCTGGTACCAAAGATTATTGTTGTGGAGGGCATCTTACGCATGTGCGGGTCTTTAATACCAAGTCGGATAAAACATATATATGACAGCTATAGCTAAATCTGAACCGATTTACACCAAATTTGAAGTACTGGTTTCTAGGATGAATTCAGTCAGAATTGCCAAGACTCAGTCAATTTGGGCTGATATTAGTCATTTGGTGCACAATAAACATGATATCAGATAAACATGTGTTTGGGAGCTATATCCAAATAAGATTCGATCATGATATAACTTGACAGAGGTATTTTGTAACTCCATATGTTGTTTGGTACCAAATATCATTCTTGATGTGTAGATATTATGAGTGTGAAAGATTTTAAGCCCCAGATTTAATTTTCTTCAAATTTGAAGCACTTGCTTCTAGACTGAATTCTGCCAGATGTGTCAAAATTCTGGTCATTTGGACTGATATTGGCCCGTTGGTGCACAATTACCCCGAAATCGGTTAAAGATATATACAGGAGGTATATCTAAATTTGAACCGATTCTCATCAATTCCAAAAGGGTTCCTCCTTGGGCAAGCAAATATTGTTTGGAAAATTGCATCTCAGTCAGATAATAAATGCGACCTGGATTTTGTTCACAAAAATACATGGACGGACTGACATGCATAAATCGACTCAAAAAGTGATTCTATGAAGATCCTCAAAAGTAACTATGGGTCTACCTCGCTACCTTCTCCATGTTACAAACAAATGCACAAAGACATAATAACCTTACTACTTTGTGGTGTAGGGTATAAAAATTATGAAACTCAAAGTTTCAAAAATTGCAATGTTCTTGTATTGCTCCGGAACCGGTACAAAAAACCCTATCATATGATTACTTGTAAGGTATTTTCATAAGCTTTCAAATGGAACCAATTTTGTACATATCACTTTTGTAGAACCGGATGAAGCTCGGATTTTTATCCTAATTTTCGTGTCGCATAACATGGACTTCCCCCACATAAAAATTACTTTTCCATAATTAGGTTAAAAATACCTATCCCATAATGGGATTTATGTTCGCAAACTTTTTGGACATAATTCCTACAGGGTGAGATGAAAAAACTGCAACCAATTTCAGACTGCTGTCATTTCTAAGCAACTCGTCCCACAGCTATTAAAATTATTACAGTGACAGCTCATTATATTGTTTACAAGCGTAGAAAAGCATTTTGGTGAGTTTCCAGAAAAAAAGTTATTCGTGATGGCATTCTAGCGTGATAGTGTGATTTCTTTATATTTGACTGGAAAACCACAAGTGGAGCACTCCAGCATTTAAATGTGAATAAATCTTTTGTGTCTCGTACCATCGCTCGTTACCGTGATACTGGTAGCGTAACCCGACGTCAAGAAAGTGGAAATGAAATGGTTCGAAAAGTAAAGAAGCGACTTTATCGAAACCCGCATCGCAGTGGCCGAAAAATGGCTCCTGAGCTGAACATATCGAAATATTCCATTCGGCAAATATTGAAAATGAGCTCACGGTAAAGCCATTGAAATTTCAAAAAGTGCAAAAGCTTACATCGCAACAGAAAGAAAATAGACTCAAAAGAGCTAAAGAGTTGCTTCGCTTGGCCGAAAGTGGTGAACTGCCGAATCTGGTTTTCTCCGATGAGAAACATTCGCTGTCCAGCGGTTTGTCAACAAAGAAAATGACAAAGAGGTCAGCTGAAAATGTGCACCTTCTGTTGGCCACCAGAAGTTAAGCGCCGGCCATGGTGATGGTGAAGGCCGCCACATCATCCGCTCGTATTAATCGACCTTGACATCAGAATAAATGAAGACTATTTTCGCGAAAACGTTCTGGAGGGTGTTTAAAGCCTTGGGCATGCAAACTCAGCACGAGCCACCCAAGAATGGTTACAAAATGAGGTTATTAGCTTCATTTTCAGCGCACAATGGCCACAGAAACCCACGGATACCAATCCATTGGTCTATTGTCTCTGGAGTATTTGGGAAAGCAAGGTTGGCACTAAAAAATACCAAAGTGTCGATCACCTCAAGCAAGCGCTTCGCCGGGAATGGGCCAAAATACCGCAGAGCAACATTCGGACAGCATGTGACGGCTTCAATGGCCGTTTGAAGGCCATAATTCGTGCCAAAAGTGACCAATTCGAACAAATCTAAACTTATTCTAAAATTTTATGCTATTTCCGACATTTTTTGCTTTCATTCAAAAAAATTAAAAAAAAAGAATGTAAAAATTATGGCGTTGGAGTTTTTTTTTGCAGTTTTTTTATCTCACCCTGTAAATGCGACCACAAAAATTCATGGACAAACCAACTGACATGCATGAATCGACTCAGAAAGTACAAAAATACCAATTTTCCCATTTTGTACATATCACTTTTGTAGAATCGGATGAAATCCGGATTTTTATCCAAACTTCCAGGTTGAATAACTGGGTATTTCCCCTATGGAAAAACTACTTCGCCGTAAGCAAGTTAAAAATGCCTTTGTCCACAACTTGCTGGGGACTACGCAGATTTTTTTTTTTTTTGACATAATACCCATTCCATTATGGTGTTAAGGCCGTAAAACGGTCATAACTTTATAATTGTAATGGGAATTATGTCCGTGGGGATTATGACACGGCACCGCCGCATGCACCCACATTAAATGAATTTTTGCGAAGTTCAAATACCTACTGAGAACCCAAAATTCTCAAATTACTGATATTTTTGTTGGAAGTTGGGCAAATGCCTGCAAAACACCGAAAATTTTATCAAAATATACAAAGTTTTCAGTACCGACCATTCTAGGAGAAATGTCTATGTATGTTCAAAATTTCTATTTGTAGCTCTATTTTTATACCCTCTTCCATAGCATTGTAACACGTCGAAATATACATACATATATTCACAAAGTATATATATTGTTGATCAGCATACAATTCTATGTCGATTTAGTGGCGTCCGTCTGTGTGTCAAATCATTCTACTTCCGAACGAAATGAAGTTGGTTGATAAAATTTTACTGAAATGTGTATTATGTTTGCAGGACTTTTTGGTATTGAAAATGGGTGATGTAGGTTTACGTTTTGGTAAAGCCCCCATATATATACCTCCTATTTTCGATATTTTGGTGATTTAACCGACATTTTTATTCACCGGAAATGTTTCAAATTTGGTATTTGAAGTTCGTAATGCGTACTACAGCTTATGACAGAAAATTGTCTATGCAGGTCCACATCTTCGTATGGCCTTCATATAACGGTACCTCCAGATATTCGGTATTTTGATGACTTTAGCGTCATTATTTACCGGAATTGTTTCAAATTTGGTATTTGAAGTTCGTAACGGATGCTACAGCCTATGACAGAAAATTGTCTGTGCAGGTCCACGTCTTCATATAGCCCCCAAATAACGGTACTCCCCGATATTCGGTATTTTGATGATTTTAGCGACACTCTTCACCGGAATTGTTTCAAATTGGGTGTTTGAAGTTCGTAATGGATACTACAGCCTATGACAGAAAATTGTCTGTGCAGGTCCACGTTATCGTGTAGTCTAATATAACGGTACTTCCCTATATTCGAAATTTTTATGATTTTGGCTGCATTATTCACCGAACATTTTTATTCAAGTTTCGGATTTGAACATTGTAATGATTCATGACAAAAGTTGCCTATGCCGGTTTACGCCATCGTATAGACTCTTATATAATGGCTACATTCGGCATTTTTAAGATTTTAACAGAACGTTTAACGGATTTTATTCTTTTGAAAATTGCCAAAGTCGTTTTAAAAGGTGGAGGGTATTCAAAGATTGGTCCGGTAGAACTTTCAGCTTTTTTACTTGTTTTATTACAACTAGCTCTGTTCTGGCACTAAAAAACTAAAAATATATATTTCCCACATAGATATTATTTGACTCGCGTGTATTGCTAGGCGCCGTTTTCTCAAATATCCGGTTATCTGAAACCCCGATTACCTACCAAACCCACATACCTAAAACGAAGTGCTATCAGTCAATTGTTTACACTACCACTACATGTTAATTATAATAATTTGTAATGACGTTTCAACAATACCAAGACGGATATTGACAGTCAAGGTCATTGCCGTATATGTTCGACGTTCATTAAGTGTTTAGTTTCCTTTGTGAAAGGAAACTCGCAGACACATTGCACACACACATACATACGTACATTTTCAAAAATCTTGGAATGTATGGAGATTTCCGAGGGTTTGCGAAACGATTGTCGATAGAGGGGATCATCACTATTGGATCTAGAATGGAAATTCAATCAGAGTTAGAGATGTATTTTATTTAAAAACTTTCCAATACTTACCCAGTTTTGAGGCAGCGAAAACTTTGCTGGGTACTGACACGAGTACGGTGGGCCCTTCTCTTTAGGGAAGAAGGTGACACTGAACCAATACCCGCCGTTATCCAATCTATATCTGGACCCTGTTGGCCATTGCCCTCCGTTGCGGCGTTGGCGTTTACATTATCACTGGCTTTTGTGGTACGAAAGTCCTCCAGCGCCGAACTGCTCTCATTTGCCACACTATCACTGATATTAGCCGCCGCCAGCTGTGTGGGCGGCACATGCAATGAATACTGCACCGAACCATCACTGCCCACCAACGGCAATTGTTTGCGTGACAAACGGGCCTTAACGGCTGCCACTAATGCTGCACCATCATCACGTGAACTGGCAATTTGTTGCACCACATCGAGCACCTCACGGGCGGAGGAAATCTGACCCAGCACTGCCAGCACATCGAGAGCTGCTTGGCGTACACGTCGCTTGCGATTTAATGCGGCGTATGTCGCATTAGTGACACATGTTGCCGTATCGAAACAGGTACTGGGAAAGGTCATGAGTGCGTATATGACCATTTGCAGGGCATGTTCACGAAACTGTAAACAGAAGCAGAAGCAGAAAAGTTATGAAGAGACTAAAGAGGTAAGTATGAGAACAAAAAATATGAAAACAAACAAATTAGCATAAAGTCATAAATTGACAGAGACAGCGAACTGGTTAACTGGGTATGAGTGTGTGTATGTGTGTGAGTGTTTTGATTTTGTTGTAACAAAGTGTAATTTATTTACAGATTGTAAGGAAAATAATTGTAATTAATTGCCATAGGTCAAATGGAGAACGGGGAAGGATAGCCAAGACGAGAGTAGTACAATAACTGACTGACTAAGAATCAACGCCCAGACAACACGACTAAAACTAGACTCTTGAAATATTGTACGGGATGTGTCGGAGTGTGATAAGGCTGGGTTTTTGGAAATCCCTACTAAAAGGGTACCAAAATGTACTAAAAATGTAATACTTTGTATTAGATAAATGGAAAGACCTAGAATTGATGAAATTTGGGACGTGATTCACTGATGGAGTGCAGGATAGATGCACCAAAGTTTTTTTTTTGGAAATCCGAACTTTAAGGTTACGAAAAGTTGTAAATCGTACTAAACTCATAAAATGGTATATTATGTGAACGGATAGAGCTAAAAACTTGAAATTTGATACGAGGATCAAAGTTGGCAAGTAAATTCAATATATGAAGTCGGTTTTGAACAAGTGTACTAAGTGTGTGCGAACTGTACTAAATGGTACTTTATTTGGAATAGTATGGTTTAGGATGAAAGGATTAAGCTGGAATTTTGAAATTTTGTATTGGAGACCCTGTAGGTGGTAGATTTACGATAAAGAGATGATTTTGGAAGTATACACTCAAGTGCACGAAAAGAACTAAATAGTACTATATTTGGTACAATATGGCTGTGGGTGAAGATAGTGCTTGAAATCTGAAATTTGGTATTAGGTCGCTCATCATGTGTGGCTTGTACATATGGAGGAGGTTTCAGAAATGTGTATCGTAATTGTACGAAAAGTACTAAATGATACTATATTTGGTATTGGGTGAAGGAATAGAGATAAAATCTGAAATAAGGTATTAGGGTCACTGTTCATGTGTAGGCTAAACATATAAAGGTGGTTTAGGAAATGAGCCTTATATTTGTACGAAAAGTACTAAATGGTACTAAATTTGGTATTGGGTGGAGAGATAGAGCTGGAATCTCGAAATTTGATATTGAGGTCTTTGATTGGTATCTGGGATTGAGATATGAAGGTGGTTTTTGAAATGTGTACTTTAATTGTCCGAAAAATACTAAATGGTACTAAATTTGGTATTGGGTGAACAGATAAAGATAAAATTCTGACATTTAATATTTAGGTTACTGATGGTATGTATGTTTGAGATTTGGCGGTGATTTGAAAATTCGTTCTATGTTTGTTCGAAAAGTACTAAATGATACTAAATTGTGTACTGGGTAAAGGAATATAGTTGAAATCCTGAAATTTGGTATAGAAGTAACTATTGGTATCTGAGGTTAAGATATGGGGGTGGTTTTGGAAATATGCGCTATAATTATACGAAAAGTTCTAAATAGTACTAATTTTCGTATTGGGTGACGGAATATTTAAATTTTGAAATATGATATAGATGTTACTGTTAATGTCTTAAAATGCTGAGATTTTATGCAGGTGTCACTCTTGGCAGCGGTTAAGTAAAAAAAGGTAATCCTGGAAATGTGTACAATAATTGTTCGAAAAGTACTATCTGGTACTAAATTTGGTGAAGGGATAAATCTGGAATCCCAACATTTTATATTGAGGTCTCGTTGGTATCTGTGATTGAGATATGGAGGAGATTTTTGAAATGTGTACTACAATTGTTCGAAAAGTACCAAGTAGTACTAAATTGACTATTGAGGGAACAAATAGAGCTTAAATCTTTTGTATTGGGTGAAAGAATAGATTTGGAATCCTGAAATTTGAGGTCTCTGTGGAATTGAAGATATAGTGGTGGTTTTGCAAATGCGTACTATAATTGTTCGAAAAGTACTAAATTTACTAATTTTTTGATCACGTTTGGTGTCTACTATAGACAGATGTAGACTGTGTTGGATATACGTACTATATGTTACTAAATTTGGTAGCTGAAATTTGATATTGAGGTCACCGATGGTTGCTAGGGGATTACATGTGGATACGTTGAAATAGTTTTGGTCGGAAAAAATGTATGTGGGTCTATGGTTTTACTAGTATCCTTCTTGGTAAATTTCAAAATTAATTACTTTGAAGACTCTTTGGTGTAGGAGATAAGAAAAAATTGTTCGACAAAATTTGGAAAAATTTTGTGTGTGTTTTTTGATATCCAGGTGAAATAAATATTTCTTTAGTTTGTAGACTTATGGAGAAATTCTATGGAGAATATTTTTGTCTTTCACGTCTTCATTTTTAGGAGAAGTTTGCTTGCATTCACATTAAGTACGGCATTGGCGTTTTTATACCCTACACCACATAGTGGTAAGGGTATTATGTCTTTGTGCATTTGTTTGTAACAGTCAAAAGGAAACGATATAGACCCATAGTTACTTTTGAGGATCTCCATAGAATCACTTTCTGAGTCCGTCTGTCCGTCCGTCCGTATTCTTGTGAATAAAATGCAGGTCGCATTTATTATCCGATCGAGATGAAATTTTGCACAAATCATTTGTTTGACGCAAGGACGAATATTGAAATTGGAGATAATCGGTAAAAATTTAGATATAGCTTCCATATATATCTTCGTCCGATTTGCCTTTTATTGTGCACCAAACGTGTCATATCAGCCCGAATAGTATGGAATGCACATACAACCAAATTAGGCCTGAAAATACATATACGAAATTTGATCGAAATCGGTTCAGATATAGCTATAGCTCTCATATATATTGTTCATCCGATTTGTTATTTTTGTCCTCGGCAGCCGTAATATGCACTCCGTAACAACAATATTTGGAGAAATATATCAAATACAACTCAGAAATACATTTGCTATATTTTATCGAGATCGGTTCAGATTTGGATATAGCTCCCATATATAACTTCGTCCGATTTACCTTCTATTGTGCACCAAACGTCTAGTATTTGTCCAAATGGGATAGAATTCGGCATATACGACAGAATTGAGTCTAGAAGGTAGTAAGCCAAATTTGGTGAAGATCGATTCAGATATAGCTATAGCTCCCATATATATTGTTCATCCGATTTGTTATATTGTTACCCACAGCAGTAATATGCACTTCGTAACAACGGTATTCAGGAAAATATATTAAATACAGCTCAGAAATGTCTTTGCCAAATTTTATAGAGATCGGTTCAGATTTCGGCATAGCTCCCATATATATCTTTATCTGATTTCAAATTAATTTTGCACCAAATGGGCAATACAAGTCCGAATTTAAAAGATACAAATGCTTCGGTATATTTAGCCTTTTAAACTTTAAATTATAATTATAATCATAGCTCTACTAAATTAGCAAAGTGGTGTAGGGTATCATAAAGTCGGCCCCGACCGACTTTAGGACTTTCTTTACTGGTTAATATATACGAATTACTGCGGTTTAGGTGAAATTTAGACGTTTTATGTCTTCTAGGACCTATAGTAGAATATGACAAATAGTTTTTTAGAATATTTTGGTTTGTTGTGGTACCGTTTAAAGGAACATTTTAACCATCTTCCACCATAATAATTTTCGTATTTTCTTAGTCCGAAAATTATCAAATAAATGTTGAAGAGGGGGAGCATCTTCCCTTTATTTAGGATAATTTTCGATGTAAACTTTAAAAACGCCGATACACGTGACTTCTATTAGCTCTACTTTCATAATCTGCTAGATTTTCCCTGCAATTATTGAAAAAAATTGAAATTTCCTTAGATTAAAAAATGTGTTTTTGAAACATTTTAGTCTCGTTGGCTTAAACTTGAATCGAGAATTTTTAAAATAGTATAATCTTTGTATAATATCTTGAATCGTCGATTTTTCCTGAATCGTCGATTATTCTTTAATATTGTATCAAGCACTTCCAACGCTATCCTTCCCTCTCACATTTGTCCATTGACCACCGTTTGTTCATAGATTTTTCACAAATATTAATATTCACTGTTGTGTGTCTGTGTGTGTAGTGACGACGACGGAAGTCTAGCGACATGCAAATGAAATGCATTGAGCACAAGGTGCCCAGTTCATTTGAAACCATCAAACATCATGCAAATCGACGAATGTGACGAATACAGGAGAACAATCAACCACATACTGTCACTGCTGACCACCAGTGATAGAAGTGAATCCAAATCAAAGAACCACCAACAACAACAAAAATTAGCATGAAATTAATGTCCAAATCAAATAAATGCACAGGCCGCTGCACCCAGCACTTAGTAAATGCTAGTCTTGCAGAGGTAGTATTATGAAATTTGCAAAAGAGTTATCGGTGATTTGGCATATTGGAGGAATTTTGCACAAGAAATGCACAACAATGTCTTTTGCATATAGAGAACCTTCGAAGGGTCTTCTGTCTATGTCAGACCTGTAGTAGGCGTTCCTTCTATAGAATATCTATAAATTGCCTTTTCCATGTGGAAATCTGTAAAAAGTTCTTCTTCAGACAGAGCTTTTAAAAGACCTCTCAAAACGACCTTCACACCTTAGTAGGGTATTAGTAAAACCATTGCACAATGGATCCACATCCAATTTTTCGGTCCAAAACAAATTTTAGAATTTCGGCTGTATCTCTTCAACCAATACCCAATTTAGTAAAATCTAGTACTTTTCGTATAATTTTAGTATTCGTTTGCATAACCGTTCCTTTTCTCAATCCTAGACACCTAAAGTTATCGCAATATACAATTTCACGGTTCCAGTTCTATCCATTCGCCCAATACAAAATTAAGTAGGAATTAGTAATTTTCGAACAATTATAGGACGTTTCTTCAAAACACTCTCCATATCTCAATCTCAGAAACCAAGAGTGACCTTAACATAAAAGTTCCGAATTTCAGCTCTGTAATTTCCGTTTTACGAAATTTAGTACAATTATTGTACGAATATCCAAAACTAGCTCCTTCTTTCAACCACAGACACCAATAGTGACATTCATTTCAAATTTCAGATTTCAAGCACTATCTGTTAACCCAATACCAAATTTTACCAAATATATTAGTAAGCAATACTTTCATTTCCAAAACCACATCCATATCTCAACCACAAATACCAAGAGAGACTTCAATATCAAATATAGGAATTTTATCTCTATCCCTTCACCCAATACCAAATTTAGTACATTTTAGTACTTTTCGTACAATCATAGTACGCATATCAAAACCAACAACAGATACCAACTGAGACTTCTACATCTAATTTGAGGATTTCAGCCCTATCCCGCATTTCCAAACCCACCTCCAAATCTCAAATACAGAAGACATCAGTAATCTAAATAACAAATTTCAGAATTTTTTCTCTATCCCTTCACCCCATACTAAATATTGGACCCTTTTGTACTTTTCGTACAATAATAGTACACATTTCCGGAATCACCTCCATATGTTTAGGCTACGCATGAACAGATATACTAATATCAAATTTCACATTTCAAGGACTATCTGCTCATCCGTTCATCCTAAACCGAACTGTTCCAAATTTAGCACAACTCGTAAAACTGACCCTTCTGACCTTCTTCTCTTTCGTCTGGGCGTTGATTCTCGGTCAGTTAGTCATTTATTTCACTAATTTTTTATATGTATTGAGATCGTCGGACAAAGAAAGGCCTTCGTGGGAAGAAAATCTATTATAGAATCTAGGTCTATAAAATCTTTCTAAGAGGTCTTCAATCTTTTGAAAGTTTCAAAAGATCCTTGACGGTCTTTGGAAGTCTATAAAATAAGTCTGAAAAATTTCTCGTGTACAGAAGTCCTTCTAAAAGTCTTTTTTTGTGTATTTTGTCTTTGGCAGGGCTTTTTATAGCCTTCTCTCAATAAAATATCTGTCAAAGGTCTTCTCTTTTTTAAATATTTTTAAAAGCTTTAACTGTCTCTAGAAAGAGGTCTTCGTCTATAGAAAACATCTAAATGACAAAGCGTCTATAGCATACATTATTGAGGTCTTTTGCTGTTAGGAGACCCATCTAAGAGATCTTCGACAAAGGAAGTCCTCTAATAAGCATTCAGTCTATCGAAGACTCCTAAATGGCCTTGGAGGAAAGCAGGTCTATTATAGCACCTAGGCCAATAAAAGATTTGTAGAAGCTCCTCCATTTTTAGACATTTTTTTTAAAAACTCTTGGATTTATGAAAAACCTTTGACAGGTCTACAGCCTTTAGAGGACCTCTTTAGGGCTTTCAGACTATAGAATACCTCTAAAATGTTTCAGGACTATAGAAAGGCCTTAATGGGGTCTTTTGTCTATGGGATGAAAAGGGAAAGATTTCGAAAATCTTTATAGAACCTCGGTCTATGGATATTTCTTAGGGGTTGCCTATCTTTAGAAAATGTCAAAAGACCTTCGAATTTTGGAAGACCTTTGAAAGGCCTGCCGTCAATAATGGACTCATGTAAGACTTTCAGCATTTAAAAAGTTTTCGGGTCTAAATAAGACCTACTAAAGGTTTAAGACATCTGAAGTCCTTGTGAGATCTCAGATAGGAAGAGAAGATCTTCGGAAGACCTCCAATATAAAGAGGACCCTTAGGGAGCTTGAAATCCCATATATAGAAGTTTTTTCAAGGACCTTCTGTCTGCCAAAGAACACTCAAATGTCTTTTGTCCTTGGACGGCTATTTAAGCTATGGGAGTGAACCTAATACCGAAATTTTTATATTCCACACTCAATTCCGAATTTAGTACTATTCTATACTATATAGCACGCCATTCCAAAAACTTTCCATTGCCTAACCCAAAATTCATTAGTTCAGTTTTATTATGTATGATATTTAGTACAATTTAGTACTTTTCGTACAGTTTATAGTATGAATTTCCAAGTTCACCTCCGATTCGCACTTACAGTGATGCATAAGCCAATATTTACAATACTAGCTCTTTTCCTACACTCTATACCAAATTTTGAACCATTTAGTGCTTTTCGGACACTTGATGTACGTATTTTCTCTTTCTATACTAAATTCCAACATTCGACTTTAATCCGTTCACCATATTGTATGAAATTTAGTGTCAGTTAGTACTGTTCTTATATCTATTACACATTTTCAAAACCAACCCTAACATCAATCCTGCTTAGTAATCTAGATTCTAAAGGTGCCGAATTAGGGTCATTTTAGTACATTTAATCTTGCTGTTCGAAATTCCAAAAGAAACTTTCGTCCCATCTTTCCTATACAGCATCAACGATTCTTATTCCGAATTTCAGATCTCCAGCTCTTCTCCAACTACCAAATTTAATACAATTTAGCACTTTTCTGACCTTTTTAGTACATATTTACATAATCACCTTCCTTATTTAACCCCACCTCACAAAAAGTAACTGTAACAAAAAATTTCCGATTCTTAAGTCTATCCCTCCCTCATATACCAAATTTAGTACCATTTACCACTTTTCGTACTTTTATACCCTCCACCAAAAAAGGTATGGAGGGTATATTAAGTTCGTCATTCCGTTTGTAACTCATCGAAATAATCATTTTAGACCCAACAAAGTATATATATTCTTGATCAGCGTAAAATTCTAAGACGATTTAGCCCTGTCCGTCCGTCTGTCCGTCTGTTGTAATCACGCTACAGTCTAAACGAATTAAGATAGGAAGCTAAAATTTTGCACAGATCTCTCTTTTGTCTGCAGGCAGGTCAAGTTCGAAGATGGGCTATATCGGTCCACGATATCGTATAGCCCCCATATAACGGTACCCCCGATATTCGGTATTTTGATGATTTTAGCCACATTTTTCAACGGAATTGTCTGAAAATCCACACAAGGAGTTCCTTGTAGGTACTTTATACCTCGGCAGAGAATTATCTATATAGGTCTACGATATCGTATAGCCCCATATAACTGTACCTCCCGATATTCGGTATTTTGATGATTTTACCCACATCTTTCAACGGAATTGTCTGAAAATCCACACAAGGAGTTCCTTGTGGGTACTTTATACCTCGGCAGAGAATTATCTATATAGATCCACGATATCGTATAGCCCCCATATAATGGTACCCCCGATATTTGGTATTTTGATTATTTTATCCACATTTTTCAATGAAATAATTTGAAATTCCACAAAAGGAGTCCCTTGTGGGCATTTTACCCCCTCAAAAAGAATTGTCTATATAGGTCCACGATATCGTATATCCCCCATATAACTGTACCCCCCGATATTCGGTATTTTGATGATGTTAGCCACATTTTCAATGGAATTGTCTTAAAATCCACACAAGTAGTTCCTTGTGAGTACTTTACCCCCTGATAGAGAATTGTCTATGCAGGTCCACGATATCGTATAACCCCCATATAACGGTACCCCCCGATATTCGGTATTTTAATGATTTTACCCACATTTTTCAACGGAATTGTCTGAAAATCCACACAAGGAGTTCCTTGTGGGTACTTTATATCTCGGCACAGAATTATCTATATAGGTTAACGATATCGCATAGCCCCCATATAACGGTACCCCCGTTATTCGGTATTTTGATGATTTTAGCTATATATTCCAATGGTATTCTCTGATCAATCCACACAAGGATTTTTTGTGAGCACTTTAACCCCTGAAAGGTATTTGTCTATATAGGTCCACAATATCGTATATCCCCCATATAACGGTAACCCCAATATTCGGGGTTTTGATGATTTTAGCCACATTTCCCAATGGAATTATCTGAAAATCCACACAAGGAGTTCCTTGTGAGTACTTCGTGAGTACTTTAACCAGACATAGATTTGTCTATATAGGTCCACAATATCGAATATCCCCCATATATCGGCACCTTCCGATATTAGGTATTTTAAAGATTTTAACAGAATTTTCAATGGATTTTATTTTTTTGAATATTTTCTAATTCGTTCCAAATGGTGGAGGGTATTCAAAGTTCGGCCCGGCCGAACTTACTGCTTTTTTACTTGTTTAAATACATATTTCTAAAACCATGTTCAAAACAAAACCCTACACACTAACAGTGACTTTTCAACAACATTTCACAATTCCTGCTCCATTCATTCAATCAAACCCAAATGTAGTACTATTTGGTACAGTTCTGGCACAGTTCAGTACATGTGTAGTTGGGGTTCCCAAAAACAGATAGATAAATCTATCCTACACCCCATCTTCTTTTTAAATATCAGAATTCTAGCTCTATCCATTTGCCTTATAGATTGGTTTATGTTTTTCCCTTCTGATTGTGGCTGTATATTTCAAAGCACTTCCGTTTATAGACAAACTCTAAAATGTCCTCTCTCTGCGCTTTTATAGCTTGCAAAATGTTTTTTGGTCCCAAAAATAAATTGTTTGACAAACTTGGCAACCCTTTACCTATGCAGTTTTTATAGTCCTTCCCTTTTCCTCAGAATTTTCTTTTTGTGTCTCTTTTTCATAAAGACAAACCGAACAAAAACCACATCAACTACCAATGAAGAACAAACAAAACAAAAAACAAATCAAAAAGAGAACAAAACCCGACAAATTGAGAACTTACCCTTGAGCTTTTGGCATGCAGAAAGTCCTGTGATATCAATTTCAAAATAATAGCCGACGGTGGCAGGCGTTGCATTAGGGCCTTACACACCCGATTGGCACCGGCACCACCCTGCCGACACAGGCCACTCATAATTTGCATTGTTCGGTCTTCCAAATTGTCCAGGGGCAGGCGTGTTATCAAATTAATTAATAGTTTTCGTTTTTCTTCGGCCACATCGGCCTTACACTCGGAAGAGAGTAGGGTACGCAGCAAGGAGTCCAAACAGGGTTGGACACGTGCTAAATTGTCGGAGGATCGTAGAGATTGTTCCAATTGTATGACACCCTGTAGGCGATGGCGCCAGTTCTGTGGAGGTGGGGAGAGAAGAGGATGGAAGAAAGAAAAACAAAAGTTAGTGGGTGCAAATTACAACAACAACAAACTGTGTTATTAAATTATGATTACAAATCATGTCCTGTTTAATGGTTTTAGTATATTTCCTTCCCTGAACGGGTTAGGCCATCAAATAAATGTTATCTCTTTAGTGAGTGTGTGTGAGTGTTTTTTTTTTTCGAAACATGCAAATTTCTCATCATCGTTATCACAAGAGCCATTAGCACGCTCCTTAAAAACCTTGAGCAAGCTATTTGCAGTTTGGATATAAATTTCAAATCTATCACCCTCCCTCAACAAACAATTTGTTGAGCATGGAGCAATGGAATTTAAATGACCTTTCTGATGGTATTCACTGCAGACAAATTTCCAGAATTATCTTTTACATATTTTTCGTTTAACTATTTTGAAGTTGCTGTGGGTCTGTGTTGGTGTCTGTGCGTGTTCAAGTGTCATTTATATATGTAGGCTTGCTAAGCAGGTCCGCAAAAAGGCAAATTTTTAAGGGCCTTCATGTGATCATTTTTATACCATTCACCATGGAAAGAAAGGGGTTATATAATTATACCCTACAACACTATCTATTGGGGGTATTATAAGTTTGATTGGGCCAAAAATTATGTAACACCTCGAAATATTGGTTTCCCACAGCCGAGCTGAGTCGATCTAGCTATGTATGTCCGTCCGTCCGTCTGTCCATGTTAATTTGTAATTACTCTACAGGTCGTAATTATGGCCCGATCTTCACGAAATTTAGAATGAAGGTGGGGCTAGGGTCTCTCTTTTGGAGATGATCGCATAATATTTAGGGGTTGAAATGGACCAAAAACTGAAAAAATCCCTGATTTTGCAGTTACTCTACAGGTCGCAAATATTGACCAATCAAAGCTGAAGTTAGCATGGGGCTAGAGCTTAGGGCTGGGCAGAAGCATTCAAATTTTGATGGATGGATGGTAATATTTAGTGGGTCAAATAGGCCATAACATTTTTGTTAAATAAAAGTCAAATTTTCCATTAAACCGCTAATATTTTTAATCCCGGCGAAATCACAAATAGACGAACAGGTCAATTCTTACCGTTACGTAGATTCTGATAGTAAATATATCGGATATATATAGCGAAATATATACAATGTGTATATACAAAGGAAGGGGATGTTAGCTAGAATGCTTATATCCCATATTTTTTATCGCATGCGATTTTTTCAATTTGACTTATAATATTTGGTAATATTTTTTCACCTTACAACACAGGTTGGGGATATTATATAAGTATTGCAAATATCGCCCGATCCTCACGAAAATGTTCACAAGGGTAGGGTTGGGCTCAGAAATGCTAGGCCTATTGTTTTCAAAGATGTCCGCAATATATTAATATATTGCCATGGACCAACAACTAAAATTTTTCCTGATTTTGCAGCCTTTATAAAGGTCACAAATAGAAACCAAAGGACATGAAATCTCGCATAAAGTTAGAGTTTAGGACAGCGGGTACAATGGACCACTAATTTTGTGTGAAAAAATACCAGCATTACTTACAGGCGATATCCGAAATACACAAAAGGCGAATTTCTGGCTTTTTTATGCTGATTTCGTTGACGAATATAGCCAAATATCGTAGACAAGCAAATCATATTGACGAGTCTAAATTTGGAGATACAGAGCGGCTTCTTGCTTTTGGAGATGATTGCAAAATATTTAGGGGTTCAAATTAACCAAAAACAGAAATATTTTTCCGATGACACAATTGAAACCAATCGACACGCTTGTGAAGAGAGATAAGGACAGGGAAGAATTCTAGCATTTTGGATGACCATTGGATTATATTTATCTGTAAAATGGACTACAACAACGAACAGCTCGTCGGAGTGCATAAATGTTGGGCAAATGTCCATAGTCCTAATTTCAAAAGCGAAATCTTCCAATATGGATTTGGATATAAGGGGGCTTCTAACATATTGTGGTGTTGTAGGGTATAACATAGTCGGCCCCGCACGACTATAGCCTTTTCTTAATTGCTTTTTTTAATTCCGTTTCTAATACCTCTAAGTATTGGTCTTAGACCCCATAAAATATATTCATGATCAGCGTAAAATTCTAAGTCAATTTAACGATGTTCGACTGTTCGTCTGTGGAAATCACTCTAGCATTAGTTTGCAGATGTGTGTTGGTATTGAAAATGCGCTATATAGGTTTACATTTTATTTTTGCCCCGAATCTGCTGTCAATTCACAGCATGTTTCCCATTATGAAAGAAACGCCCTTCCATAGAACCGTCAATATAGGTTTAAGTTTTCGTATAGTCCTAATGGATATTTCATCCTATTACAGAAAATTGCTCTTACAGGTTCACGTCTTCGTATGCCCCCATATAACGGTAGATCCCTATAATCAATATTTAGATGACTACAGGGTGAGATAAAAAATCTGCAACAAAGCCAACGCCATGATTTTTCCCTTTTTTTAATTTTATTGAATGAAAGCAAAAAATGTCGGGAATAGCATAAAATTTTAGAATAAGTTTAGATCTGTTCCAATTGATCACCTTTGGCACGAATTATGGCCTTCAAACGGCCAATGAAACCGTCACACGCTGCCCGGATGTTGCTCTGCGGTATTTCGGGCCATTCCCGGCGAGGTGATCGAAACTTTGGTATTTTTTTAGTGCCAACCTTGCTTTCCAAAATACTCCAGATACAAAAGTCCAACGAATTGGTATCCGGAGATTTTGGTGGCCATTGTGCGCTGGAAATGAAGCGAGGAACCTCATTTTGTAACCAGCTTGGGTGGCGCGTGCTGAGTGCGATGGTCCTACTGGTATGTCCAAGGTCTGCGGCAAAAATGTTTGCGTGCTCAAGGCTTTAAAACACCCTCTAGAATATTTTCGTGATAATATTCGGCATTTATTCTGATGCCAGGGTCGATTAATACGAATGGAGAGCGACCATCGGGTGTTATGGGGACCCACACTATCACCATGGCCGGTGCTTGAGTTCTGGTGGCCAACCGAAGGTGCACATTTTCAGCTGAGCTCTTTGAAAAGTAAACACGATAATTTTGTTTGTCTACAACTGCTGGAAAACTAATGTTTTTTCATCACTTTCGGCCAAGCTACTCTTAAGCTCTTTTGAGTCTATTTTCTTTCTTTTGCGGTGTAAGTTCTTGCACTTTTTGGAATTTCAATGGCTCAATGGCTCATTTTTTAATATTTGCCGAATGGAATATTGCAATGTGTTCAGCTCACGAGCCATTTTTCGGCCACTAGGACGTGGGTTTCGATCAAGTCGATTTTTTACTTTTCGAAACATTTCTGCTGATGTTGCTGTTTTCTTCCGTCAACTTCCTTGACGTCGGGCTACGCTACCAGTATCACGGTAACGAACGATGGTACGGGACATAAAATATTTATTCACATTTAAATGCTGGAGTGCTCTAACGATAGTCACTTGTTGTTTTCCAGCCAAATATAAAGAAATCACACTATGACGATTGAATTACATCACGAATAACTTTTTTTCTGGAAAATTCTCACCAAAATGCTTTTGTACGCTTGTGAACAATATAATGAGCTGTCACTAGAATAATTTTAAGAGCTGTCGGACGAATGACAGCAGTCTGAAGTTGATTGCAGTTTTTTCATCTCACCCGTATGCGTAGCCTTGACGTGTGGAGGTGGTTTTTGAAAAGTGCCCTATAATTGTACGAAAAGAACTAAATGGTTCTATATTTGGTATTGGGTAAGGGATGGAGTTAAAATTCTGAAATGCCATATTTTGATTACTAATGGTGTCTGTGGTTGAGATGTGGCTTTGATTGTACGGAAATTACTAAAATGCACTCAATTGGGTATTGAGTGAGAGGATACATTTTTCTTTGTCTTGTACCCCAAGACCGACCTTCACAAAACGTTTAAAAGTTGTAGGTCTTTTTCATCCTTTAACAAAAATGTTATATTTTTTGTAATCTTTAGTAATTTCTGTGGTACCAGAAAAAATTAAAAACACGTTATCTATACTCAATTTAAAGGAAAAACAAAGTTCTTCCCATAATGTTCCAAAATCCCGAGTTTACTCACTTCTCTGCAAGAATGGTAATCATCATGAAAACCATTAAAGTTATAGCTCTTACTAATTCCCTATATTCAAGTCCCATTATTTTCAAATTTTTAGTTATTTTTCCAGAAACCAGTCAGAGCACAATCCACTTCTCCAACTGCCGTGCAGCATTATGTAATTATTTGGACTTTTGGTACATAAAGTATAAATTTTCAAAAATTCCACTTTAACTAACTTTCCCATACTAGATTCGTAATTCAAAAACAAAGTGGTACCATTTTGCAGTCGTTTCGAAAATCGTCGAACTTCAATAAATAAAATAGAAAACAGTGATTCTCCAAAGGCCTTCCATTTGTTGGCCTTGCAAAATACCACCCTGTACTATTTTCTCCCTTTCACGCCATTTACATTGATTCCACATTACTTAATTCAGCTAGTCTATTTAAATAGTTTTTTTTACTTAATTTCCACTTAATGTATTAATGGTCAAACTTAATTGAGTTTTAGTGTTTGTTTTCCACTTTGTTTCGTTTGATTTCAAAATGAGTTGCCTCTGACAAGACTGTGGAGGTCACTTTAATTTTAGTAATTAGTTGTTGTCTGTTTTCAAAAGTTACAAACTTTAATTGGACGTGAGGTCAAGCATGAAAATAAGTGTGCCTGGTTATGGTTGACTGGAATAAATTTTTTTGGGAAAGCAATTAAAAACTAAGGAAGTAGAACATGGATCCTTCATATATTTTGCTAAGGATAAATATAAATCGAATGTCTGCTATTGTTAAAAACTCTTTCAACTGCATTTTAGAATTGGAGATATTTAAAAACTACTATCCACAGAATTGGGTCCCTTTAGTGCTTATCAATGATGGAATTGATTTTAAATAATCATAATGGAAAATAATACTTTATTGAATCCATC